CGGGGACGCGACTGCTGCCCGTCCACTGAGGAGAGGGGCGCGTCGGCCGGTGGGGCCCCCCCGGCTGGGCCGGGCTCCTGAGGGAGGGCGGGCCGGGCGAGACCCGACCCGACTCGACGCGACGCGACGCGACCGCCGGGTGCTCACGCGGCTTCGCCTTCCCTCAGGTGCGGGGCCGTGACCATGCTGGGAGGGGACGAGTTCATCAGCTCCCCGCCCAGGAAGACGGTGCGGTTCGGGGGGACTCTGACGGATATCTTGCTGAAGTACGACAAGGTGACTGCGGCTCTCCTCGGGGGGGGCTGCCTGCGTTGCCGGTGCACTAGTTCCGGGGGTGTAAGTGGGTGCGAAGGCTCGTTTCGGCTTGCACGGGGCCGTGGCTGAAGGCTTAGGAGAAGAAGGCGAAGGCGGCCGAGTGCTGTAGGCTCGTGCCAGGCGGTGTTGCTGTGCGAGTGGAGAGAGTTCCCCTGTGAGTCAGCCCGAGTGACGTCCTGGATGGATGTGCAGCCTGGCTTACGCCAAAGGGTGCGAGGCGATCGCAACTGCGTCTACAGGGAGAGGAGCTGAGAATGACCCAGCGGCTTCACTTGTCTTTCAGGGACGGTGCTCTCTTACTGCTGCTTCAGCCTTCCTTGAGCTCTCTCGCTTACTTGCGTGCTTAACGTTACTGTTAGGCAATATTAGGTTGTTCAGATGCGTTGATGAAATTCGTATTTTTTGCTGGAAAAAATATGAGGGTTACTCACTTATTTTTCTTTCCCCTGCTAGGGCGAGACCACGGATTTTGAGTTGTTAAAGCATCAGCTGTCAGATCCAGACATAAAGGTAAGAGTTTTGGTAGTAAGGTGTCTGATAATTTAAAGTTCAGCTGTATGAGTGTAATCATCAGACAAGTCATGCTGGTGCTTACCCAAATCCTTTCCTTTAAACATTTAGCCACATTTAACAGCTTTTTGCTTTGTGGAAACTATCAGAATGAATGAAGGCAATTGTCTGTTCATACACGTGTATCTTTTATGTGCAGGATCTTGATAAACCGTGTCTCGTGCTTACTGACTCATTGCTCTAGAGTGAGAAACTTTCTGCTTTGTGACAGGGTCTTTCTTTGTTCCAGATACCATCTTTCTAGGTCACTGATGCTTGTTTTTACAGATAGTTCTGAAGATCAGACCATGGTTTCTGACTTCCACAGCCTTTAAGCTGCATGAATTTTTACCTTCTCCTGTTCTCACTAAAAACTTGTTTAATTAGGTAGTAAGATACATATGCATTTAGTAGTTAACATGCAGAAGTATTGTTTCATAGCTCTTCTGTATAGCTGTGAGTACCCACTACATTTGTTGTCTGTGGCTTGTTTTTTTTCTTCCTTTCTCCTTTTAATTAAACCACAAAACTGTGAGAAGGATGCTGCAGGAAGCATAATGCTGCATGGAGTTCCTTTTCTCTTTAAAGAGGACATTTTGCAAAATAGTTTGGTTTTAGCAGGCCTTTTGGAGTGTACAGGCAAAATCAGCGTAAAATTTTCTGTGTAGATTTGCTGCTGTTTCAGTATCTCTCTTATTTCAAGACTTGAATGTCCCTTCTGCTTAAACTAGAGCAAAAAGAAAAGAAAATAAAGATTGAATGGCATTTCTTTTAAATATGTTATGTGTTAAGTGAGGTTTGTGTGCCTTGCTCAGTCTGTAACTTAAGCCTTCCAGACAGGCTGTTGGTGTAGGAGTTGGTATGCATTTATTCTTGCATTCAGGAGGACACAAACTTAAAGAAATTCCTTGCATGTTAATATGAAAATAATTTCTATTTACAATCTTAATCTGACTTTTAAGGATTTTGTTATTTTCTAGTAATAGATAACTATTCCAATAAACAGTGTTACCTGTTTTTTCTGCTTACTTTAAGGATGCCCAGATCATTAATTGGCTGCATGAATTTCGAGCTTCTGTTGCTTATTTGACCAAAGAGCTTGAACAACTGGTCAGCATTTTGCTGGTAAATATCTGTTTGTTACTTGGGAAGATTAAGAGTTTAGTACTCAAAACATCTTTCTTTGACATCTTGGTCTTTGCTCACTTTCAGAAGCTGCCATGGTTGAGAAGAAGCCGAGAGGTGGTGGAAGAATATCTGGGTTTTCTTGGCAATCTGGTGTCAGCACAAACGGTCCATCTTAGGCCGTGCCTCCGGATGATTGTATCGCATTTTGTCCCCCGTAAGTCACTTTTCTCATAATCTTTTTTGTTTGCTTATCAGAATGTCTCTCCTAGATAAATTCTGTATAAATACAATGCGTGACACGATTAATTATTGGGTTGGTTTTTTTTTCCTGTTGATTACTTCTTAACTTGAATAGCTGAACTGTGATACAGATAGTTTTCTGTACCTAGATTTTAGAAGACATTCTGGTGGCTAATCCAGACCCCATTTAGAAAGATGTCTTGGAAAGAGATGAACTGTATAATGTTGTTATTACTAAAAAAACAAAAGCTGCAGTGAGGATCATATCAGATGTTCTCAAGAACCCCTGGTTGTGTGAATGAAACAGTCTTTTTGATGAGCTTCTGCTTATTTTAGAAAGTCTTGTGGATAATTTTGATGCTTTAGTCCTGATGAAGGCTGTTGTCTAGTGTGTTTGATTTGGCACTGAAACTGTTACCTGTAAGATTTGTACAATTTTGATATAATAATCTCACTTTTTGCTAGCTCGAATAACTATCAGAGAAGATGATGTGGATATTTCAGATTCTGATGATGATGATGAAAGTGAGTACAAAGGAAGCATGGCTTATATGTGCTGCTGTAATACCTTTACTAAAGAAGTATACAGTGCATGTTGCTCCTTTTTTACAAAATTAATTTAGCTCAGTTAATGTAAAACATTAAGAAACAGGACATCCTTAAATTCTCAAGTCAAAAGACTTTCTTGTACTTGAATCAATGGTGTGGTGACCCACTCCTTGTTACTTTAAAAATATTCCTGTTGGTGCAGTATCTGTAAGAATAAGACTGAATGCACAGGAGAACATTCCTAGTCCTAGATTGTTTCAAAGCCAAAGAAAAGTTAGGAGTTGTTTGTTTTTATTTTATTTACTTCAGTAAAACTAGGTAGTTTGGGGGATTCTTGAGTCTTTTTTTGTTGTCTGCCTGTGGTAAGCTCAAATTTATAACAGAAATGATGCATAATTAGCGTGTTTATTGATAAGGCAAACAGATAGCTAAATGTCTGTCAAGAATTTAATGTTTTCTTATCTTGAATGCTGGAATAAATGTCAGTTCTGCTTGTGATGACCCCACTACTCTTCTGCTGTTCACTTGTGACACTGTTTGGATAAAAAAAGCCTAATTAGGTGTTTGTTTGACTCTTGTGAAAATGAGGCATAATCTTTCAATAGCTTTTTATCTAGTTACAGACCTGGATTTAACATATCTTCTAAATATTTCTGTATTGTGGGATAAATTTTGGATTTCCAAGTTTAGCATTCAGTCTGAGAGCACACAACATCTGGCCTTGGGGCTGGCAGCATGTTCAGAGTTATATTAATTGTGATACCGTGAATTTTATTTGCAATTATTTTTCACACTCATTTTGGTAGTTCAACTTAAAAAAAACCCCAACAAAACAAAAACAACATCGCCCCCCCCCCCAAAATAATTAAAAATTGGCAAATGTAATTTCCTTGGAAACCTTTAAAATGTTTAGTTGATATGAACTAGTTTTGCTGGGTCCTGATTTAGTTTTCTGTAAACAAATGCATAAAAGTACTTTTTTCTTTCTCTAGACCTTTCTGAAAACTTTAATACATGCCATAGAGCATTGCAAACTGTTGCAAGATATGTTCCTTCGTAAGTATAATCCTGTGGTTTTGTATGCTCTTTCCTTGCAGATTTAAAGCTTGTGAACTGTTGATTTTTATTTTTTTTTCACTTTAATTGGAAGTATAATACTTAGTTTCATTGCATGATTTTTCCTAATATTCACTAACTGGTGGAATGCTGTATCCAATCATTATGAAATTTCCATAGACATCAGCAGCTGAAAATCCTGTTAATGGAAACAGGAAATAGGGAAAGTCATGTTTATAGCAATGTATTTGAAGTGGCTTCTGACAAGTCCACGGTGAAAGTTTGCTGCTTATTATTTGTTCGATGATGCTTGCAAAAAACATATTTTATACAATTACTTACCTTAAAATAAAGTTACTGTGAAATAAGCTTGTTCCAGTCTGTCTTCAGTGTGCTAGAGCTTCAATATTTGCTTTCATGGTAATA